CTTTCCTAGTGAAATTTAACTTCTTTTTCATTCTGCATAAGTACCAGGAAATCTCTTTTAGGATCTTCTAGGGTTTAAAAATTATTAATTTAGCTAGAGAATTCTATTGATATAAGCAATATTATAAGCCCTTCTTCTCACTGATCATTGAAGATTTACTGACAGATAAAAATTGGTCTAAATATTGAAGTTGCCTGCAAAGGCTGGGAAATGTTCAAAGAAGTCACACACTTCTGTGGCTTTTCAGGGAAGAAAATTTCACTCTCTGAAAGCCAAATTCTGTCAGGGTGGTTGTTTTACTCTTAGGATCACTTCTAGTTATTAGATTTTTGCATTCTATCCTTATGAGTTACTTTTTATTCCATGCCATTAATAATCTGGGTGTCCATAATTCCTAGGTCAGGAACTAGAGTTTCTTCTTTCCTTAACAGTAACCATCACATCAGGAGTCAGTTGTGCCTTTTTATTTTTCATAATTTTAAATTAAATCACCTCTACATTTGAGTTCAATAGTCGAAAATGTTTTTACCCAATATATGCTGTCAGTTCTCTCTTCTGTACAGTAAACCTACATAAGTTATCTCCAGGAGACTCCATACTCCCATGTTCACATATTTGGGGAGAAAGATATATTCATACTTCAATATAAATTTACTCTCTTCAAACCAACTAAAGCAACTTTTTAACATTTCCATTACATATAGGGAAGAAACTTCATAAGATGTTGTGTTATAGGACTCTCTTTGCATGATTACATTCTGCTGTAGTTCTTTTAAAATATTTTGCCACAAAGGATTCTGGCTTATTTTTTCATAGTATATGTGAAATATATGATTAGCTTGCATATATAGTGCTGTGTTTTATATGCATAATTCATTTAATCCATAGTACAACTTCATGAGAAGATTACTATATAGTAAGTCCACTGTATTTGCAACGTATTACATATGATTTTGACCAAGTGTGATAAAAATATAGTTGAAAATGAATAGAAATTCAATTTTTAAAATTCCCATGTGTATATTATGTAGCTCAATTGATGAGGAGAAGCTCCTAGTCAGTTCCATGTTCTCATGGTTGTGTTTAAATTGTTGTGCAGTTTGTTGAGTGCTTCCCTGCCCTAAATTTTGTGAAAATATATTATGCCTTCCAAAAATCAAATGGTACCAACAAAAGCAAGGCAAAAATGATGGTAATGCTCCCAAGCCAAAAAGGTCATGCGTTTAATTGTAGTGATAGCGTAAAAATGTTAGATTTGTTGAAAAACAGCATGTCTTTAGCAGAAGTTGGGTGGTATAGGGTGAAACATACACAATATAGTACTGAACTCTATTCATCCTGAGCATTCATGGTTTTTCCTCTGTGACTGTCTTCTTGCAACCATATACTCATGGATACCAAGTGTCTACTGTATTATCATCCTCACTGTAAAGGTTAAAGTTGAACTACAATATGTGATTGGAAAGTGGAAAAAGTAGTGCAAATTGGGAAAAGTATATGTAAAAATAAGAAATTTAAGTATACTTGGTACCCTGTTTGAGAGTGATTATAAACGTACATAATTGATTATATAAACACACAGGGATTGCTAGTTGTATATAAATAGTCAAAATGAAAAATGAAGTTGTGAAAATGAAGATGTCTTATGTGAATACTCAATTTACTTACGTGTAAATTAGCACAATAGGTAATTTACAGAAATTTTAAATAGTTGTTAGCTATTATAAGATACTTTATAAAATGTTTTGTCATGATATACAACAAACTTAGAAGTAAACATGCATATAATATTAGTTATGCACTATGTATTTTGATATTACTTGGCTGTGATGCATATTAAAACATACTTTGCCAAGGGGAAAATTACATTTTCTTTGTTTTCATTGTTCAGTTATCACTATCATTCATTTGAAGTCAGAACTTGTTTTTGGAATTTGATATAAATCATGAAACTTATTTATCACATAAATGTATAAAATCTCCTACATGATTTTCTGGGTTTCATAACTCAAAAGTTTCTTCAGATATTCCAAACCAAACCCCCAAACTGTGCATAAAATATGCTGTATGCTTTAATTGCTTAATTCCTTAATTGCTCTCTAGAAACCAAGATAAAACAAGATTTACAAAATGGAAATGTTAAAAAAATCCTATAAGAATGCTTGGTAAGAAGGGGTGAGTCTGGCTTATATATGTGACATTTAGTGATCACCATTAAAAAAGTGTTATCAACTTGTCTTAGCATCCACTGGCATCATAAAAACAGAAAACTAGTTAGGTTTATCACATATTTATGCAGAATAGGTAGATATTCCTGGAAGTGGTATTTGTTAAACAATGCAATACCCTTTCAGAAGAATCTTTATAATTAGTAATGACTTTGTGTAACATTGAGCAAGAAAATTGCTGTTCTGCCTAACACCTAATTCACTCATTCCCTAACTTCTACATAGGAACTGACTTAATTAAAGTCATTTGAGAATCAGTAAATGAATGAATCCTTCCCCACACTCATCTTACATGTAAGTGTTCTTACATCAGAACACTTTTCAATTATCAGATTAATTAAGAATAAGGTGTGATCCAGGAATCGGTATTGAAAGGAAAGCAAAATGAAATCTCCCCAGGTGATTCTGCAGAATAAGAAAGTTTGGCAAACACTAACTTAATTGAACTCCAGGGCCCTTTTCATTTTTCAAAAGTGTCCTATAGGAGAGATTCTCAGGTCTGCTTCTACATAAAATAAAAAGTAAGATTCTCTTGAAGTTCAAAGTGGAGAACCTTTGTAAGATATGAGGTGGAAGCATATGAAACTCAGAAATAAATAGGTGTACTTGTTGAGTGTACTTAGATACTGGAATAAATCTATATGTACTGTGAAGTATTTTTGCCATTTATTATACTTTCCGCAAAGCTTCCTTTAGCAGAATAAAAGGATTTTTACATTCTTCAATGATGCTTCTTTTGGAATAAGCTAGATTTCAAATAAGGTATTTGGTTTTTAAAAATAATATCTTTTCTGGAGATATTTTTCCTTAATTGAGCAGAAATTTCTGTTTTCTGTTTATTCTTCATATATCATATTTTTAGCACTTTCTATTTCCTAGTCATTATATATTTCATTTAGCTATATATTTAACTATATGTTATATTATATATTGCTATATATTTATTCTGTACTTGTTATGTATTTCATTTAACTATAAGTGCACATATACACATACACATACACATACACCTACACATATATAGATATTCCTATACATATTCCTATACATATACATATACATATACATCCTATTGGGTCAATGTCCTAAACCATATTTTGCTGGTAATACAACAGAGGCTCATGGAATTTAAACAATTTAATCATGATGACTGAGTCAGTGAGAAAGCATGGATTAAAAACTAGATTTGTGTGAATTAAAACACCCTACTTTAGCTAAGAGGGCATTTGACTTCATGAAAATAGTAATAGAAGCTAAATCAGTTTCATTTCTTCTGGTTGTATTTTAAATTTTATGAAAGTTTCTAAATAAAAATATGGAAACTCAAGGACAATAGTAAATTTGTTGAAGGAAGGAGCTTTTGTTGTTCATTCAGAAATTAAATACAGCAATGGAACAAAGAATTATAACACAATATTTATTGTTTCCATTTGGATTTAACTTTTCAGATATCTTACACATTATGAATATATTATCTATATGCCTTTTTAGCATTTGATATTAAGTATTGATATTTAGAAAGAACTAAATCAGAACCTTGTGATACAGATTTTTTGGTCCTATTTATTTGGTCTTATGGTCTCATGTTTTATTAAAAATATATACAGGGAAAAACACTTCATGTTCAGAAGTTAATCTTATATTTCAACCATAGTGCTTTTATATAATAAATAATTCATATGTCTAAGATAGTAAAAAGAAAAGATGTGCTGGAATTTGGCTGTCAAAAGGGAGCTACTAGCAGTCAGAGATGATCAGTAAGTGAAGTAGGAGATAGAAGTTGACCAGTGTATGCCCTAGCGTACAAGAGAAGAGGCTGACATCACTTTAATGACTTTATTTAAGATTGGTGATCCATTCCATCTCACAAAACTATAATCCCATGTTCACTATAAAGTCTTTTACATAGGAGAATGTTTTAAATGAGCCAAGCTGAACTTGTGGTGGGTAAAGGAATTCATTCAATTGTATTTCTCAATTAGAATGAACTTTATGAATTTAAATTTAAATTTACTTGACTAACATTGTATCTTTAAGATGTTTAATTCATCATAAATATCAATTTTCATCATATTTCATATGATCCTCACAACAATCCTATCAACTAATTATTTTTTTAATTTTAAATTGTTTATTATTGTGCTGGGTGGGGGTACATTGTGGCATCCACAAAAGTTCTTACAATATATCAACTGTATCATCCTTGAATTCACCCCCTCCACTATTCTCCTTTATTCTTCCCCTCTATTCCTGGTCTAGTCTCATTTTTCCATTTGCATGCACGTGTATGCAGTATTTGCACTATATTCACCCTCCCTCATCTCCTCCCCCCTCCCACTGGGACCAATCCCCTAAACTAAGTAATATTAATATCTCATATTTGAATGAAGAAGAATTATTATGCATTGACAGTGTGGGTAATTATTTCACATTCTTCTAAAATAGAAAAGGTAAAAGTTTTAGTCAGTCCAGCTATCATAAAACTCTTCACAAATGGCATAAAATGACTGGATAGTGTCACTGCCCACAAGCCCTTTGCCCATCCATATTTTTATATCACACTGAAGCTAAAAGAAATAGAACAAATTTAAACAACTTCACTTTTGCTGTACATTGTGTGCTCCAAACAAACTATTTTGCAAGGTATGCTGCTAAGAAACCCTCAATTTGTATTAGCATTTTTTTCAATAGGAAAACCAGGAAACAAGAGTTGACCAAGGCTTTCCACAGGCTTCTCAATAATCCATTTATTTTCTCAGATATGTCTCAGCTATGAAGAGTGAGTTGAAGAGAAATTATTCAGAGAATCCGACAGAGTTTGTTCTGATCGGATTCAGGACATCTCCAGAAGTACAGATTGTCTTATTTTTAATGTTCTTGATAATCTATCTGATCACTGTTTTGGGAAATATCAGCATGTTAATTGTCATTAAAATTGACTCCAGACTTCATACACCTATGTATTTCTTTCTTCAAAATTTGTCCTGTTTAGATATTTGCTACTCTACAGTCATTGCACCCAAAACTCTGGCTACTTTCTTGTCCAAGGAAAAGAAAATTTTTTACAATGGGTGTGCAATGCAGTTCTTTTTCTTTGCTCTTTTTTTGGGGACTGAAGGTTTCCTTCTGGCTGTGATAGCATATGACTGCTTCTCAGCCATTTGCTCACCTTTCCTCTATGCTATGCATATGTCTCAGCAGGCTTGTGCTCATTTGGTTGCTGGCTCCTACATCTGTGGATGTATCAATTCCATGATACAAACAGGTTTCACCTTCAGTTTGTGTTTCTGTGGAGAAAAGAGACTGGACCACTTTTTCTGTGATGTCCTAGCCCTGCTCAAGATCTCCTGTGTTGTGAATGAGATGGTGTTGTTTATTCTCTCTGCTTTTATCATCATCACCACCACTACTGTCATTCTGGTTTCTTATGGGTGTATCCTCTCCACTGTCCTAAAGATCCCCTCCACCAAGGGCAAGAGTAAGACTTTCTCCACTTGCAGCTCTCTCATCACAGTGGTGAGTTTACTCTATGGAACTGTGTTTTTCATGTATGCTCAACCTGGGGCCATCTCCTCACCAGAGAAAAGCAAGATTATAGCTGTGGTCTACATGCTTATTATCCCTACGTTGAATCCTTTGATCTATAGCTTAAGAAATAGGGAGGTGAAAAATGCTTTGAAGAAAACATTGTTGAGAAAGATACCTTCTCATTGACTTTCAGCCACCCATAAAATTGTAGAATCAACTAAAATTAATGTTATCAGTAATTTATTGTGAAATAGTTCAATGAAAGACCTCTACAAGTTTTGGAGATTAAAGCTTATTTTAATTTTTTATCATCCATAAAACTTTTAAAAATGAATTTAAAAATAAATCTACATTTCTTAATATTTCTACTCTAAAATAATACTGTGGAATCTTGGCATAGCACAGTTTTAAAATGGCAACTAAAATGAAGTACTACCAAATTATGCACAAGTTCACATATAAACTTATGAGTAGGATATATATGTGTATGACTATGCCCATGTTCATCCATCTGTTGGGAAGAGGAATGAGACAGAGATGTCACTGAAATTCTGGGTTCTTTGATCAGCAACATGTTTGCCATTGTCCAATCTTTGCAATTAAGAATTAGAAGAGCTATGGCAATGTAAATTATTGACTTTACCAAATAATTACACAAAGGAATTGTAGAAAATATTGTATCAGTGATATTGTTACATCACACAAATATTAATTATTTCATAAAGAAGCAAAAATAAATAAATGAATGCATGTGATATAGTTGTAAAACTATCTTTTCATAGAGGTCTTGATAAATGTTTAACAATTGGCATTACTCATGCTTATTTAATTAATTTCTATCTAAGTTCATCTATCATTTTCATGGCATATATAGCTTGAAAAAATCCTTATTTTTCCCTAGATTTAAAAATTATGGTCATAGAGTTCCACAGCATTTTTTAAATAATTTAATCCTGCCCACTTCTGTTTTCTATTTCTATTTTTTATTCCTTTTTAAAGCATTTTTAACATATATTTGTTGTACAGGGGGTTTCATTGTGACATTTCCATGTATGCTTAAAGTGTACCTTGATTAGGTTCATTCTTACCACCATTCTCCCTCATTCTCTCCCCCTCTGCTTCAAATGATTTCAACAGACTTCACTGTTCTATTTTCATGCAAGTATATATAGTATATTGAGATATTCACCTCCTTCATCCTCTCTATTCACCCACACCACACTAATACTCATCTGCTAAGACCTGCTTTACATTCCTGACTTTCATTTTTTAAGTATATATTTATCATTGTCTTAACAATTTCATGCTATTTTTATCCCTTGATTAAACTTTCCAAGATTTTGACTTCATATCATGAGAATTTTGAGTTTTACATCTCAAAATTCAATTAAATTTTACATTTAAAACATTTTGTGGTGTGATGTTTAGTTATTTCATAGGTCTTGTTATGTTTTATTTTGTTTAAGTGGACTGAAAATTGTAACACAAAACATTACAGATAAAATAATACATATATGAAATATTTACTATAGTATTGCATATATATATTCTGCATATATACATATATGCCTACAATATAATTGTTTAAATTTATTTTCCCAAGATCTTCTGTTTCTAAATTCATATGTCAAATACTTAGTTACTTTATTTCACTTTTTATGTTAATGATTTATGTTTATAACCTTTAAATAGTTTTCAATGTAATTCATTCTTATTTTCATTGTCTTATGAATAATTGTCCTATAATTTTTTAGCATTTTCTCTCACACAGGGATTATTTAGATGCAGTTTCCTATTTGAACATAGTCAATTTATTTAGACACTCTCTTTTATTGTTAATTTCTACTTTTATCATAAGTTCAGATAATTTAAACTTGAAAAACATTTGGCATAAATTACTTTTATATCAGGTAAACATTGACAGTTTAATATTAAAATGCAGAGTCACATTCACCATATTTCTGATTAAAAAATTAAGTACATTATCTCAGAAGTTGCAGAAAGAGTATTTTATAATTTTAATGCAATTTTATGAGAAGCAAAACCAGTAAATTTAGAATATAATTAAAATTCATTAACCTAATAAAATATATGTACTAGCTGAATGAACACACATTCTAGATGGGTGAATATTAATAATTATTTCTTTTAAATTAAGAAAAAGACGAGACTGAATGTAGTGAAATATGTACTCATGTATAAAAATGGAAAAATGAGACATGTTGAAACTATTCCAGGAGTTGGGGAGGGAGTTATCAAGAAGAATGATAGAGGGGGTGAATTTAACTAGGATATATTGAAAGAACTTCTGTAAATATCACACTTTACCCCCAGTACAACAATGTTAAAAAGTTAATACAATTAAGAAAAAAGACAAAGTACCCACTATTAACAATGTATTTCAACATTGTATCAGACATATCACAAGTTCAGTATGATAATAGGTAGAAACAAGTTATAAAAGGGATCAAATGTGGAATTAAACCCTCATTTTCATGATCATTTAAAGAAGAGTTTATGAAGATGTGTGGGTTACTTTACAAAATCAATTGCATATATGTAAAATAGCAGTAGCACAGCACAATATTACATTTAAAAGATTATACCATTTTCAGGTGTATCAGAAATTACAAACTATTTAAGAATAATTTAACAAAACATGTTTAAGGCCCCTATGTGGTAAATCATAAGATTATGTAAATCATGTGACAATATATTATTCAATATTATAAAGCACATCAATCATGAAAAATAAGTGTATATATGAATATAATAAAATTAAGAACTTTTACCCATCAAAGGATGCTTTATAGAAAATAAAATTACAAAATACAAGATGAAAGATGACAATGAAAAAAATAAAACTGAATTTACAAGTGGTCTGCAGGGTCAAATTTTGCATTGCATTTGTAATAAGTGAAAACAATTTGAGAAACTAGTTATCATTACCTTCTGTAAAGAATACTTTATATCTTAGGGACCAGCAACTCCTCTCCTAAATATCCAAATGGCAATCTTCTACATATATACTGGAGGAGATAAGCAGTAGAACTTTTATAAGAGCATAACTGATGCAATTAAAAGACAGGCATAAATTAAACTCAATAGGATTGTTGATCAGTAGAAATGTTGCATTTTTGTAATCGTGTATTATGAGACAAATAAAATACACACAATGGGCATGAGTCTAAGCATTAATAGAATAAAGTAAAGCCTCAAAAATTGGTAGAGATGAACCATTGTGGGTTGCAATACACATGTGCATGGAAGCAATAATAGGAATTTCTCTGTATAGCTATTTTTATCTCAAGCTATCAAAAAACACTTTCTTTCTTATTACCTCTTATGTCTTCTCTTCAATAAAATCAGAAAACAAGAGGGTGGAACAGGTTCTGCCCAGAAGAGTAAGAGGACAGGAGTGGGGAGAGGGGAAAAGGTGGTCTAAACAATGTATACATATGTGAGTAAATGTAAAAATGAAAAAAAATTATATAGTGAATACTCTTTAAATAAACTAAAGCTCACTTATACAGACTTTGTTAGTTTTTTGTTTTGAATGTTTAATTGTTGTTTTGCCTTTTTTAGTGTTCCTTTTCTATTCTAGGAACTCTTTCAAAGAACCACATTCCATTCTATCATCTGTATCATTAACCTTTTCTGGACTGTGAGCATTTTTCAGATTTTCCTTGTTTTTAATGACCTTGACAGTTTTGAGAAATATTAGTTATTGCAGAATGACCGCTATTGGAATTTGATATTTTTTATGGTTAGACTGGGGCTGTAGTTGGGGAGGGAAGACAATTTAGTGAGGTATCCTTCTCAGTGCACCAAATCAAGGGCCCAAACTATCAATGTAACTTATCCCCAATTATGTTAACCTTTCTCACTTGGCTGAGGTAGTGCATAACAGCCTTATCTTCCATAGAATTATTTTCCCCCTCTCCATATTGTACTCTTTGGATGCAAATCACTAAGTACCGATTCCACTTAGGGGATGGGGAATTTGCTCCACCCCTTGAGAGAGAGCACATACATAAATTATGTGGGCTTCTGTGTGGGATATACCTTCAAATGGGGTAAAAACACTAAAATAACAATTCCTAGGAGTGCATATGTATGCAATCAAACTATGTAAAGTAACAGTAACTTAGTGATTAGGAAGGGAACCATAATGTTGGGAGGAGACAAGTATATAGGATACAGGATTAGACATCAGTTAGAGTTAATGTGCACATGTGGTTCAAGATGATAGTGTAGCATGAAATGAGGATTATCAACTTTTTATCTACAGTTGAAATCCAAATTTATTAAATTATAATAAAGTGTCATGATTTTCCCAAGAAATCTACCCAATAGATTGTTTATACTTCTGCTTTTTTGTTTGCATCATTTTACTTTAACCTTTTTAACCCTCTTTATTTCAATGTTTATTCATTACTTTAGTTATTTTTCTTCCCACATGACTTATTTTGGATAGTTTTTAATTTTGGTCAGTTTCTTCCTAGTGAGGTCTTTTTTTAGTGGATATCTTTTCAATTAATATTCCATTAATATTTGCAACTAAAAAATTAAATTTCTGATATTATTCACATTTACTTAATAGCTATTAATGTCAACATATATGTTTATTAGAAATTTATACACCTACTTTGATAACATATATATCCCAGTTGTTTAATTAAATTTCATTGTATCATTCACTTTTTTACTTATGGAGACTTTTAAATCCTGGGTGAGGAATCTTAATTAAGATATGTTACTTGTAAATATTTTATCTGAATATTTTGTTTAGTTTTGATTGTTTTAATAATGTCTTCCAAAGATAAGAAATTCCTATTTTTAAAGTTTAATTTATCCTTTTTCATATATTGATTACTGTATTGTATTTTATCTAAGAAATTCTTGCTTAACTCAGAATCACAAACATGTTCTGTGGTGTTTGCAGGGAGTTTTATAATTTTAGGTTTTGCATGAATTTTAAATTTGACTTCATATATGGTTAGAGATGTGAATGCATTTGTATTTTCACAGATAGATATTCAATTTTTTCAGCAGTATTTGTTGGAAAGGTTATCTTTTTTTTTTCCCCACAGATTGCTTTTGTGCTTTGTGGATCACTTAGCCATGTAAGTGTGAATATATATATTTGTATTCTTTCTTCTCTTATGCAACTTGGTCATCCTAAT